CAATTTTTAAAAAGTGAGTACAAAACTCTTTGAAGTTTTTAAGAGTTAGTCTGTAAAGTGAAAATAGAAACATCACTGAGAGCTCAAGGATGTGTTTATGATTACAAAAGAGCTCTGAATGAAAATTGTTTCAAGAGAACAAAGCTCTGACTTTTATGAGGACAAGAATTGGGGTGGGGGTGTGTGAGGAGATGAAGTCTTTCCCAGAGCTTACAGTATCTCCTAGGATGTGCAATCACCTTCCTTTGAGGTAGGTAATATTTCCTCAAATGCAATTTTCAGCAACTAAAGATCAAGGTAAGATTGGCTTAAGGCTGGGAAAAGCCTTGTTGGAAGTTCAGTGCTCTGTCCAAAACTTCTGTTTCCTGAGGGACCTACAATTCAAAGTAATCTTTCACGCAGGCTCTTCGGAAATCTTTTCCTTTGCAATATATCCTGATTTTTTTTTTTCCTTTTGTCTTCTGTGGTAGCCTCTACATTCTAAGTCTTGAAAGTTTGCAACTCAGTTTAATGCATACACACTTAAACAGAAGATTTCACCCCACTTCCTCTCCCAGACGCCATCTCAATCATGGTGTTATCATAACTAGTTAGTTATTAATATAAATAAAGGGGGGAAAGCAAGGTGAAGGCCAGACATCACAAGCATGGCCACCTGGGAAGTTTCACGCTCGGAAGGGGGGAAGGGGGGACCACCAGTCCATCCCCTATAGATCACTGGGGGAAGGGATGGAACAGAGAGGGAGACGGACAGATGTGCAGTGAAATTGGGATGATGTGGGGAAGGTGCTTGCCTGTCAGTCTAGCCTGGGGAACAGTGGACTGGCCAGGGGGTAGAGACACTGCAGGCATGTGAAATCTTGAAGCGTTAATTGGTTCAGCTTCTGGTAGTAATCCCCAAAGAGTTCCCTTTTTCTTGCTTCACTCTTGCTCCATGACCTGCACTTACTTGTCTTCTTGTCATAGTCATGTGTCCTTAAGCAGCCGTGTGGCCCAAGGCCATGCAGACTCCACACCCAGCATGCTGGACCGGAGGGTGCTTTCATAATGGGACTTGGGAAGTAATTGGGGGAGAAAGTTTTTCAACAAGGAGCTATGTTGATTGCTGTGGTCAACTATGCTGAATTCTGCTGAGAGTTCAGAAAAATTTAAGCTAGGAAAGTGACCAATGAACCAATAGATGTTGTGATTTGATAAGAACCTTTGCAGTGACATGGTGGAAACAGAAGTACCATTGGAATGGATTGAAAAGAATGCAAGGTGAGAAAATGGAGACAGCATGTGTAGGCATCTGTTTTAAGAAGTTTTGCTAAGAATGGGGAGCTGGAGAAAGATGTGGGATAAAGGGATCATTTTTTGGAAACTATATTTATATTCAGAAGGAAATGATTTGATAGTAAGGGAGAAAAAGACAAAGCAAGAAAAGGGAAGAGAGAACGGATAATCACAAAGGCTAAGTTTCTGAGTAAGAAATTAGCCTCTGATAGGAGTGATTATACCTCAAAATCGCAGAAATGAAGGCAAGGGAACAGATGCCAGTAGGCTGGATGGTTTGGTGGTGGGCGGATGAGAAAGTTACCACCTCAGTTTTCTCTTAATTCTCCGTGAACACAGACTCTGTGACAGCAGAAGCATCTATCGTCTGAGCTCTTCGAGAAAATCCTTCTGGGCCAGTTCGTCCCCCTCTTCTGTCAAAGGCAAAGCAGGGAAGTGAAAAATGACAAAGGCCTGATCACAGCAAATGCTGTGTCTGTGTCTCCTCGTTGGCAGTTATCTTCTTACAGAGACTGGAAGACAGAAGCCTCATGATTACATTCCAAAGGAATGGCATTCCAGCCCATGGGAAAGGCTTGTATATGTAACTCCTGAGTTGCAGGAGATACATATACATCTCAAAGATACAGAGAAAGAACTCACAAGCCCTTTGTAGTAAATACTCTAAGAAGCAGAAGTCAGGGGCCTTCCTGTGGGAAGAACAAATAGCACATTTGGGGGACAGCCTTGAGCTTCCTCAGGCAGGAACTTTGAGGTGGGCTATGGTCATCCTAAGAATGAGGCCTTGCTCTCTTAGAAACTGTTAGCTAAGTCTTTCAATGTGAGGGGAGGGGAGGAAATCATTTGAGAGAATCTGTGGTTTTTATAGGGCCAGGTTTAGGCTTACTTGAGGAGAGGGCTCAAAGAGTCCTGGCTAGAATTTGGTCCAGGAAGGATCTTTGTCACTTGCTACTTATCAGGATCACATCAGCCTTTAATTTTTTTTTTTTTTAATATATTTTATTGACTTTTTTACAGAGGAAGGGTGAGGGATAGAGAGTTAGAAACATCGATGAGAAACATCTCAGCTGCCTCCTGCACGCCCCCTACTGGGGATGTGCCTGCAACCAAGGTACATGTCCTTGACCGGAATCGAACCTGGGACCTTTCAGTCCGCAGGCCAATGCTCTAGCCACCCAGCCAAACCAATTAGGGCTCATCCTTTAACTCAAAGGAAAAACTTGCATGGTGTTTTCCCACCTTCCCTATTCCAGCCAAAGTGATTTCTCTCTTCTGAACTAACAGCATCTATTGCAGTGTTTCCCAAAGTGTGGTAGGGGAAGAGTTTGGTGGGGATATGCACTGCACCGTGCTTAGCTGAGCCTAATTCTACGTTCTCATGAGTATGAGGGGTACTCAGCATTACGAAAATTATAGAAGGGATACACATGTCAAAAGTTTGGGAAACACTGTATTATAGTACTGCTCATGTAGGAAGTTATTGCTGTACTTCTTAGCAAATTTTATTCTTATTTTATCATGTACCTGCTCATGCATTTGTCTCAGCTACCTGATTAGGTCACAATTTCCTATGGGAGCATTGGGCTAAACTAGTCTCTAACATCTTTCTATCACTGTTGTAACTAATTGGTTGATATTGATAACAGGAAGAGAGCAAAGGGAGGGCGGGACATTGTAAGCAGGATCACCTGGGTGGCTTCAGGAAGAAGCTGCAGCTTCAGAGCCCTCCCTTCCCTGCTTCTGGATTGGTGGGGCGGGGATGAGGGAGTGAGTGTATATGCAGTGAAGTTGGGGTCATGTAGGAAAGATGCTTGTCTGTCAGTCTAACCTGGCTAGAGGGGCAGAGCCACTGCAAGCATGAAATCTTAAGATGTTAATTGGTTAAGCTCCTGGTTATAACCCCAAGACAAAGGAGTTCTCTCTCTCCTGCTCCTGTTTCTCACTGGCTCTGTGACCCACACTAGCCCTTACTTCCTCCATAGTCAGGTGGCCCAAGATGCCATGTGGACCCCACACACAACGGTCTGCAGCTGGGAACACAAGCTAAGCTGGCCAGATGCTGGGCTGGACTGAGCTTTCTTGTGGAGCGAAGGCTCTGGGCAGAGGCTTTGATCTCAGTCTGCTCAAGATATGGTTGGACTTTTCCATGGTGGGATGGAGGGAGATTGGACCTTGAAGGGGAACTTCCTTAATTTCACATCATCAATCAAGCTTTCCATGACACCACACCCTCTCATGGGGGCCTCAGGAAATTCTTGTTCCCATGGCACCCCAAGAATCTCACTTCCACCAGCAAGAGGTAGGGACTCAGAGGGCATCCCACCGGTAACATTTTTACAGTTGAAGATTCTGTGCAGCACCTGATCCCATGGAAGAGACTCAATCCAAGTCACAGGGTACCCAAGCACCTTAATTCATTCCAGGAAATGCTAATAGGCACTCACTATTATGCTTATCATTTTTCCAAGTTCAGTAAGACCCAGCCCCAACTTTTATTCTTGGCTCCCCTGTTTTCCCACACTAGAGAGCTCAAATACATATTTGCCTTAAAAGCTTTTAAAAAACCAAACCCTGTAGAACATGGTCTCTGAAGCAATATTAGAGATGTGTCAGCTATTACACAATTTAAATGTTCATTATTAAAGGATCCCTCAAAGGTAAACAGTCCTGGGATGACACTCAGGTTATAACCACAGGGAAACACCACTCACACCCACTAGGATAACTATAATTAACAAGTGTTAGCGAGGATGTGAAGAACCTGGAACCCTTATACACAGCTGGTGGAAAATGGTGTGGCCCCTTTGGAGAATAATTGTAAAATGGTGTGGCCACTTTGGAGAATAATTGTTTTCCAAATGTTTAGACCCGTAGTCGGCAAACTGCATCTCATGAGAGCCAAACGCAGCTCTTTGGCCCCTTGAGTGTGGCTCTTCCACAAAATACCACGGCCTGGGCGAGTCTATGTTGAAGAAGTGGCGTTAGAAGTAGTTTAAATTTTAAAAATGTGACTCTCAAAAGAAATTTCAGTTGTTGTACTGTTGATATTTGGCTCTGCTGACTGAGTTTGCCGACCACTGTTTTAGACAGAGTTACCATGTGACCCAGAAATCCCACTCCTAGTGTGTGGTCAACAGAAATGAATACACATGTCCACATACACACTGGTACATAGCCGCATTATTCATTATAGCCCAAAGTAGAAACACCCAACACTTCTAGTGAATGCTTTTTTTTTATATCCATACAGCCGGATACTCAGTAGCAGCAATGAAAAAGGATGAAGTACTGATGTCTGGCTAAGTCTGGAAAGATGACAAGCCAGGCAGAGAAAGGCTTACCTATTATTGTCTGATTGATTACATGCATGTGCAATGTCCAGACGAGGCAAACGCATGGACAGAAAACAGATGAGTATTTGCTGGAGTGGGGGGAGAGGCACTTGGTGATGCCTGAAGGATATGAAGGATATTAGGTGGGAGGGGTAATAAAAAATGTCCCCACATGACAGTGAGCGTTGCACATGCCTGTGAATGCACTCACACACGTTCAAAGGAACAGCTCGAATGGGTGAGTTGCTTGCTGTGGGAGGAGGGATAGCTCGATCGACTTGTTAAAGAGAAAGAGAAGTCCTGCCACCAATTAGTCCTTGGATTACCAGGTGGCCGAGGGCCCCGCGGCCAACCAAGTGGGATCGCTTAAGGGCAGGCCTCGGAGCCCGCGCGCGGGGAAAGGCGCAGCGCGGAGCCGGGCACCGGCGGGGAGGCAGGTCCCGGTGACCTCGGGGCAGCACCGGGGCCCGGCGCGCCCCCCCTCCGCCTGAGTCCCGGCGCCCGAGTCCCCACGCGGGGATGCGGCGCTGAGCGCGGCGGACGCTGCGGGCCGGGCCGGGCGCGGCGTGGCCTCCGGGCCGCCCAGCGGCTCCACGCGGAAGCCGGCGGGCGGGCGGCGCGCTGTCTCCCGGCGGCGGCGGGGCTGCAGACCGGCTCCTGCGCGGCGGGCGGGTGTCCCCGCGCCGCCCTCCATGGCGTTCATCCGGAAGAAGCAGCGGGAGCAGCAGCTGCAGCTCTGCTCCAGGGAGCG